TAACAATCTCTGCCTTTTAATTGGGGTGTTTAGGCTTTTTACATTTATCGTGATTAATATAGATTTAAATCTATTGCCTTATTCTTTTCTGTTCCATGTGTTATTTCTTTTTTCAATTTTTCTTTAATATTTTTTGATTGTTTTTGTGACTCCAGCTTATCCCCTTTGTTGACGTATTAGCTTTAACTCTTTGTATTATTTTAAACATTCCTTTTGGCTTTAATAGTATACATCTTTCACTTTAGAGTTCATAGGATATAACTTTTCTCTGACTACCCCAGCCATAAACCCCACACTAGATTGTTATTATTTGTGTCTAAAATGCTCATTATCTTTTAAATAGATGTAAGTAAAAAAAAAAATCTTATATATTCACATACTTACCAATTTCAGTGTTCTTAACTCCTTTGTGTATATCCATATTTCCATTTGGTATCATTTTCTATTTTCCTTCTGTCTTAAGGACTTTAACATTTCTTGTAATGCAGGCTTACTGGTGAGAAATTTTTTCAGCTTTTGTATATCCAAAAAGGTTTTTGTTTTTTAAAAGCTTTCTGCTGAGTATTTAATTCTAGGTTGACAGGTTTTTTTTCCCCACCAGTACTTTAAAGATGTTGCTGTACCATCTTCTCACTTATGTTCCTTCATATAAGAAATCTGCTGTTATCCTTATCTTTGTTCTGTGTATGCAGTGTGTCTTTTTTTTTTCCTTGACTGCTAAGATTTTCTCTTTATTTCTAGTTTTGAGCAATTTGATTGACAGATCTTTGCTTTTTTTTCATGTTTCTGGTGGTTGGGGTTTATTGAGCTTTATATGTCAGTGGGTTTACAGTTTTTATCAAACTTAGAACACTTTTGGACATCATTTCTTTTTTCTCTTTCTTTGAGACAAGGTCTTGCTCTATGTCCTAGGCTGGAGTGCAGTGGCATGATCATAATGATCATAGCTTAATAGCTCACTGTAATCTTGAATTCTTGGGCTAAAGTGATCCTCCTGCCTCAGCCTCCCAAGTTGCTAGGATTACAGGCATGTGCCACCATGACTGGCTAATTTAAAAAACTTTTGTAGAAACGGGGTCTTGCCTGTGTTGCCCAGACTGGTCTTGAACTGTTGGCCTCAAGCAATCCTCCTGCCTTGGTCTCCCAAAGTGCTGTGATTGTAGGCATGAGCCATTGTGCCTAGCCAGGACATTATTTGTAAAAATATTTTTTTCACCCACCTCTTTATCTCCTTTGGGCACTTTAATTACATTCTAATATTAGGCCACTTAAAGTTCTTCCATAACTCTCTGATATTCTGTTTATTAGTTTGTTTTTAGTCTTTTTGTCTGTTTCATTTTGGATAGTTTCTATTGCCATGTTTTCACGTTCACTGATCTTTTTTCCTGCAGTGTCTAATCTGCCATTAATTCCATGCAGTGTATTTTTCATCTCAGAAATTGTAGTTTTCATCTCTAGAAGTTCAATTTTGGTCTTTTTTATATCTTCTTTATCTTTTTTATATCTTCCTTATTTAACATGTTCAGTTTTTTTCTCTAGCTTTTCGAATATGTGGAATTCAGTTATAATAACTTGATAATAACTGTTTTAAGATCTTTGCTAATTCTAACATCTGTGTCACTTCTAGGTCTGTTTTATGTTGATTTTCCCCCCTACTCATTATGGGTAGTATTTTCCTCCTTTGCATGCTTGTTAAATTTTTATTGGTTGTTAGACATTGTGATCTTTACTTTATCGAGTGCTGGATATTTTTGTATTCTGGTAAATATTCTTGAGCTTTGTTCTAGGACACAAATTACTTGGAAACTGTTTCATCTTTCTAGGTCTTGCTTTTAAGGTTTGTTAAATGGGAGCAGAGTAGTATTTAGTATAGTACTAATTATTTTCCACTGCTGAGGCAAGATCCTTCTGAATACCCATTTCTCTATGAAATGAAATTTTTTAGTGTGGCTTTTGGGAACAGCAACTATTCATAGATCTGTGTGAGCTCTGAGTACTCATCTTTCTAATCCTTTAAGGTGGTTCTTTTCCCGGTCTTAGGTAGTTTCCTTACATACGTCCTAAGCAGTACTCTACTGAATGTGTCAAGACTTTACAGATCTTCATCGTTCTCTTTCTGTGCTACTCTTCTCACTGCTACCTTATGTTGTGACTCTAACTACCTTGATGTCCCTGGATTCTCAGTTCATCTCCTCAAGTCAAGCAGTCCCTCAGACTCTGCCTGGTATCGCTTCCTGTACCATGTCCTGAAAGCTCTCAAAGCTCACCTTTTCTGTTTTCTGTCAGCAATCTGTCTTTTGCTACCTTATGTCCAGTGTCTCACAGCAGTGTCTCTGCTGTTTAATTTTTGTCTATTCTTTCGTTTGTTTCAAGTTAGAGTAAATCTGCTTCTATTATTCTGTCTTGGCTGGAAGTTGGAATTTTATCTGTAATTAACTTTTTTTTTTTTTTTGAGACAGAGTCTCACTCTGTTGTCTAGGCTAGAGTGCCATGGTGTCAGCCTAGCTCATAGCAGCCTCAAACTTCTGGGCTCAAGCAATCCTTCTGCCTCAGCCTCCCTGAGTAGCTGGGACTACAGGCATGCGCCACCATGCCCGGCTAATTTTTTCTGTATATTTTTAGTTGTCCAGATAATTTCTATTTTTTTTTTTTTTTTATTAGAGACAGAGTCTTGTCCTTGCCCAGGCTGGTCTCAAACTCCTGAGCTCAAACAATCCTCCCGCCTTGACCTCCCAGAGTGCTAGGATTACAGGTGTGAGCCACCGTGCCCGGCCCTGTAATTAACTTTTAATTATGGAAATCTTAAACATGTACAGAAGTATAAAGAGTGTTGAAATGCATCCTCATGTACCTATCACCCAGCATCAGTAATTATCATCTCTGTGCCAGCGTTAATGCATAGGGACCCAGGATTCTGAATTTCTTGTAGTGCTTCTTGTGGTCCCATCCAAAATGCCTTCAATTCGTCTTTGAGAATCACTTTTCTCCCATATAGTCTTTGCTACCTCAGGCAAATTAAATGTTTTCTGTTCCTTGAGTTTGGGTTCTACCTAAGCTTTAGTTTTCTCATTTTCTTGATACATCATTCTTTCTTTTTTTTTTTTTTATTTTTTTTTTTATTATTTCAGCATATTATGGGGCTACAGATGTTTAGGTTATGTATGTTGCCCTTGTGCCCCACACCCTCGAGTCAGAGCTTTAAGTGTGTCCATTCCCCAGATGATGCGCATTGCACTCATTATGTATGTATATACCCATCCCCTCCTCCCCGCTCCCATCTGCCCGACACCCAATAAATGTTATTCTTATATGTGCACTTAGGTGTTGATGCATCATTCTTTCTATCCTAAATGTTTTCTCTCTCTGACTTTCCCTATCTGGTGAGCCTATATTGCCTACTTTTATAGTTTTTTGTGTGTATGGGTTATTTTTTATTTTTATTTTTTTCCCAAAGACTTTTTTTTTTTTTACAGGAATTCTAGCTCTTTATTTACTTAAAAATATATTGTGAACATTTTTCTTTATATTACTATTTTTGGTTTTATTGGTTAATGCCTAGGAAAATGGTGGAAGGGGGATTATCTGGTGCACAGGCAGGAACAAGGCTTCTGATGAAACTGACAGATATGCCAAGATGTGATGACACCAACTTGGTGAGGTTGGGAACCAAGCTTTGGTTCAGCAGGAAGCTAGGCCTCAGATCTCACTGTTGAGGATCCACAGTGGGGAAGATACAGAGTCAAATCCCAAATGCCTTATACTGAAGCACTTAGGAGGTATCAAATGAATATAGGAGTGGGGCCTCAAGTAGGGAGATTGCAGAGCTGGTGACCAAAAAGATGGCATCAATGTTAATAATACCAGCAACACCTTAATGAGCACTTTGTTGAGCATATGGCAGGTACTCTGGTCAAATTTTTTTTTTTTTTTTTTTTTATTTCAGCATATTATGGGGGTACAGATGTTTAGGTTACGTATGTTGCCCTTGGTCCCTCCCCCCCAAGTCCGTGTTTCAAATATGTATTTTTTTCCCAAAGACTTTTTAATTGGATTATTTTTAATACCAGAGTTTGAACTTCTTATGGGGAAATATGTACTTCATGTGAGTCTTTGTGATCTTTAGAAAATTATTTAGACTCTTTGTGTGCCCAGTGTAGCTACATCGTGAAATTGTTGTAGGAATTAAATAAATTTAATGCATGTAAGGTGCTTAGAATGGTATGATATGTAGATTATAGTACATTGTACTATGCTTTATGTATAGTAGGCTTTCAGTAAGATGTAATATTTTGAATAAAATTGGAATATGGATGAAATAAATGAATTAAACTGAACATTCTCATTTTTATAGAGATTAATGTAAATACAAACTGTAAATTTTTTTTACAACCAGTATTTGTTCATTTGTTCATTCATTCATTAATGAAGTAATAATTGAGTGGTTCTAAAGTGCCAGGCAGTGGTGGGAGGTGTTGGGAATACAATGGTGATAAAGACTAACTCTGCCCATATGGAGCGTACATAAATATTTAATTATTGAAATATGAGTTCTGTAAGAGACTATGACAGGGAGGAGCCTAAATTAGTTTTGGTGGTGAGAGTAAAAATCAGCCTTTTCTGATTAAAAATAAGTCTGAAGAAATCTCTTTGGTATAACAAATTATCATACCTTTATTTTGCTTGCTTTGGAAAATAGACTATCAGCCATTGTATCCAACATGATAGCCTTAGCTGCTAACATAGTTATTCCTAACATCATAATCAGTGACTGTCTTTCCTTCTTGTTAATGGAATTTTTGACATCTCTGAGAGCCTGAAATTGAGATTCTTATTGTTTCAAATGATGATTCTATTTATATAGTGATTACTATAAAATTAGCTATATTGTGAAAACTTTTATGAATCACATTTGATTGTCATAATTAGGCTTTGAAATTTGGATAACTCTTGATTTTAATACTTACGATCCATATTTAGAATTGTTTGTATTTATATATTAGGTATTAACTCCACAAAAATTGGAAGTATTAAGATCTCAAATACAACAAGAATTAGAAATTCCAATGAGAGAACGTTTTCGGAATCTGGATGAAGTAAGTACCTTATGTGAAGAACTATACATTTATCCTTATGTAACTATCAAAGTCCTGATGAAAAGCATCATTCCCCTACCCAAAACCCTTCAGTAGCTCCCCTTTTTACTCAGAGTCCTTATGGTAGCCCCTAAGACTTCACAGGGTTGGACTCTATTACCTTTCTGACCTCCTTTCCTCCATTCACGTTGGCCTCCTGATATATGTTTGACCCTCCAGAAGTGGTACAGTTGAAGAGCTTTTGCTCTAGCATCACTTTGCCTTGAATATTTGGCTAATTCCTTTATCTCTTATAAGTCTTTGCTAAAAATGTCACTTTCTCAATAAGGCCTACTTTGACTATTGCCAGTCCACCAATTTAATATTGCATCCTGCCTTTCCCATCACTACTTAGCATCTGCCTTACCCTGCTTAATTTTTTTTCTGATACAAATCACCTTCTAATATGCTATATAATTTTACTTATAGTGTTTATTTTTTGTTTTACCACCTCTAGAATGGAAGTAGCATGAGAGGAGGAACGTTTGTTCACTGTTACATTCAAAGTTCCTAGAACAGTTCCTGGTATACAATAGGTGCTCAATTAATATTTGTTGAAGGAAAGAATGAATTTCATACACCCTCATACAAGGAAAAATTTGTTACAGTCTTACTTCAGGTTGAGAGCAATCTCCTTTTATGAAGTGTTGGTATAACTAAATGCTTAACAGAGGGGACAGGAAAAGACTGCAGATAATAAGTGTATTAGGTACTGTGCTAGACATTTTATATGTGTTACTTTATTTAACAAATATACCTGCCATTGTACATACAGATGATTATTGCCCCTTCAAAATGGAGCCCTTTGGGTAATTGTAGTCTAATGATGCTGCCATTGTATAAAACAGTTGTAGAATCCTCTTTTATAGTGGCTTACTGGCTTGATACTATGGTCTTTCGAATATACTCCTAATGACAAACCATTATGGTTTGGGAGTAGATTGAATTTTTGAAAATAAACAAAATCATTCAGACCCAAGGTAGGTGATCAAGTAAAAAGCATTTTTAAAGAAATCAAAACAAAGTATATCTCTAATAAGATCAAGAAAGGTATTTTCTTGGTTTGTATACTGGCTTAGAAATCTTTCAAATACTTAGCTGAGTATTTTAGGAGACATGCTTTCCTCATTACCTAATTTCATGATCCGTGTTGAAATAGTGTCTCCTATATCTTTGTGCTCTATTGCCTGAATTTCTTGTTGAGTATTCATAATACCAGCAGCTTTCACAGAGTGCCATTAGTAAGCAGGATTAGAACACTGCAGGGAATTGCATGTATTCCTGGTTAGTCAAGAGAGATGGTGCTATATATATTCTTTAGGTTGGTGTGTTTGGTTGAACTATCATTGTGATATTTGATAGAACCTTAAGTTGCTGTACTAAATATTCAAATAACTTTTTATCTATTTTGAATTTTTCTTGTTTGACTTCTAAGGGTGTGGTATTTTATACTTAATTATACTTTCTAAAATCTAGCTGTATTTTGAAAGATGTGCTGCATTCTTCAATATTATCTTATTAAGCCCAAAGCTCAAAACTTATGTCATCCTATACAGTTTTATTGTAAGGAGAATCAGTGAAGAAATAAGGTTAATTGAATGGTAATTTAC